TCTTCAACAATGAAAGATATTTAACACTACAGAACTAAATAAGAATACTAGCTTCAGCTAGTACTCAGAACTCAACGGGAACTCAGGCAGCAGGATATGCCCTATTCCCAGCAGGAATAACCTTAAACCTGGAACCGCCCTAAACCCAGATTGTTCTAAACCGGGAACGCCCTAAACCCAAGGAGCGGGATACTCCCTAAAACCTGATCCGCTCTAATCCAGTAGGATGCTCCCTAAACCCGGATCCACCCTGGTCCTTGAGCAGGGTCACCTTTCTCAAACATACATGCAATGTCACTTCAAATGTCCATTTCCACAAGTCCTTCCTGTAAGCAACATGGGGTACGCTGGCAAGGAAATTTCGATGCGTCATTCCTACTTGGCAGTGGCTCTCAGCAATGGGCAAATATTGCCCAAGAAAATTCTATTGTTAAAGCTGAAACAGGCTTAAGGCCATTCAAGTTCAAGCACAGTTATACAAATCTTTCAAAGCCCCTCCTATTTTCATTTGAATTTGTGATCTTTCTTCAAACTTGTGATCTTAAACTTCTGTTTGACAAAATCCAGAAGAAATCAATACAGAGGTTACATTAAATAAGAGTTACACAGCTATAATTAAGATAAGCGAGGAAGGCAAAACATTAAAATTGTAAATTTGCTTATTACTTGTTGGAACCTATATTAGGATTTAGGTAATATATACAAATATTTTCAAGTAGATTACTTATGTTACTCTAAAATGTCCTTTTCATCAGTGCACTGTTAAAACTAATCAAAACCTCTACACATGTATATTCCTTTACAATAGCAGCACATACTATCACTACCTGCAAAGCCGTCAGTCTCCTTTAAATGACTTAGTGAATGAAAGGAATAAAAAGTGGATAAGTAACATATGAGGAGAAATAATAGGAATTAGAAAATTAATGCAGGTCAGCTCTTTTAATCAGCCAGCCAGCTTGCTAGCAACAAGGGATGGTTTCCGTTGAGGAAGGTCCTGTGGAGTGGGAATATGGTCACCAGTGACCTCTGTCTTATCCGGGGATGCAGTAGGAAGTTGCTTGTTCTTCATCTTTGCTTTTGCCATGTTGTAATCCCCAGAATCAAAATATTTTTTCCCTTTCTGCAATCGTTTCCTTAAAAAATCGGAACCTCCAGGCTTTTGTCCCAGGTGAGGATACCTTGCTTTTAATTTGGCTTCTTCAGCTTTCTCTGGACTAGTCACTTTACCTTCCATTTCCTTCTGCTCCTCCACCCAGGCCACCTCTGGGACTTCCGCRGACACAGCGTTGCCTCTGCCTAGCTGCGCTCCTCCAGCCCTGCTCCTCCGGCCCGGTGCGACCGAACACTTCCTCTAAAGCCTTCCTTTCTTTGACCCTACATGATCATATTCCTATCATTTTTCATATTGCAAAAGATCTTTTTTGGTCACTTCCGAGTTGGGAAGTAGAGAGATCAAACAAAACAAAACAAACCACTAAAAGGCAATCAATCCTGAAAAAACTCACCCTCTGTTACATATCCTGTGACACGATGAACAATGGAATTGTTACCACTCAGTACAAGTACCTCTTGTATCATGGTGCTATTAAGAGGATTTCATTCATCTTTCTTACGTTCCTAACTGCTTATAATATTCTGATTGGCCAGAATAAGACTTTATAGAATATTCTTTTTACCAATATTGCCTGCTTCAGAAAAGCTAATAGTATTAAAATAAAGACAACTTCTCAGATTTAGATGAAACTTTATTTATACATAAAAAATTACAATTCAGGAATTCTTTTTTTTCCCAAAAACAGTCTTTTAATTCTCATGCTTAAAATGAAAAGAATAAAAGGGGCAGTGAACAGCTTTTTAATCCTATACATCCCATAGTCATAAATATTTTTTTTTTTTGGCATTGGGGATTAAGCCCAAGGCTTCACATGTGCTTTAGTACCGTGCTACCTCCTCAGTCCCTATTAAACAATAGGCTGCAAAAAAATATACCTCTTCTATAACAGCATTAGTTTGTGTGCTGCAGACTTAAATCTCATGATGGCATCAAAAGCCAAAATAAAATAAACTAATATTCTGAAATAGAATACTTGGCTGTTGTCACATGGGCACTATCTCTAGCCACTTTCCTCCACGTTTATTCTTCCTCTTAGGTATCTCAATGGAGAACTTTTAAAAATAATAATTACATTATCATGGAAAAAGTGAAAACAAAAGTGATAAGAACCTCTTGTAACTAGTTTAAAAAGCTATTCCTCATGATCCTACATTTAGGATAATGTTTTGGAATTAAGAATGTATGTAACCACTGTTAATTAATTATGGAGCATGCAAGCCTTAGTACTATGTAAATCTCAACTTCATTTCTAAAAAATCATTAATTCAAAGAATCATTAAATGTCCAGTGTTGCTACATCTAAATAAAATTAAAAATTATTAGTAAGACTTTGCTTTCAGAGCAGGACCTAATTTACTGTGTTTTGCCCTATACAGAAAGTGTAATGGGTATAGGCATCATCTCTCACTTTTTGTTTCCCCATCCCTTTTGTCYCACCTGTGAAACCCAATAACCCCACCAGTTACTTACCAGGAATGTGGTCACTATTTGAAGCATCTACATCTATCTGAGATGACAACTTAGAGAGCTGRATAAAATCACATAATTTTAGACACACTGAACCTAAATGATAGTGTTGCTCTTTTCTTCTTCTTCAAAAGGGGTAAGAGGCCTATAAAACTTGACCAAGAAATGCAGGGAATTTAAAACTAATTTGAAAATGTCAGCAGTTGGATAGAAGACTTGATTCAAACAGGCAGTTTGCAGCTTAGGAAGAGGGGAGGGGATGAAATGAAGTACATCTTTCCATTCCGTGCACATAACTACTTTGTTCTTTAATGGTCAATGTTGTATTGGGGCAAAAAACAAAACAAAACAAATTCTGCTCCATTTGTGTTCAATGAATAGAAGAGCTTTCTACTGTCATATATAACTGGTTAGAACTAATAAACAACCAAACCAAACCAAACCAAACCAAACCAAACCAAAATCTTTGGAAGTGGCTTCACGTTTTGTTAAAATTATCCTCAGGGTGACAGGAAAGAACATTAGCTCCAGGGGTGCCAGTGTGGTAGTACCTACTGCAAGTATTTAGAAAGGAGAGGTTCTGTCCTTTGGAACAGAAGGTCACAGACACTCTGAAGTTTAGGGGAGAAAGCAAACATTATAACACAGAAACATTCCTATCCCTCTCAGTTGAGTATCCAAAGATGACATTTTTACTTTAAGAAATACCAAATTTCACAAAAATATGTGAGGATGTAGAAAGAGAAAACCTTCCCCCCCCATTGAAAAAAAATAGAATTAAATGAATGAAATAGACACTCTTGTATGAAGTTTTGTGTTCAGAAAAGACTAGCCACTGAAAAGAATGCTTTTAGTCAAAAGGTAGCTCTGTCCAATTCTGCTTACAATGAGAAGCCTTTACAATTTATTTAGGAGAAAAATTTAACTTTTTAATGTAATGTCCCTTTAGTAAGACACTGTTTACATTGATATTATAAAAAATATCATGTACTGCTACTTTTAAAAAATATTTTTATATAGATGAATATAATACCTTTATTTTATTTTTATGCAGTGCTGAGGATGGAACCCGGTGCCTCATACTTGCTAGGCAAATGTTCTACCAACTGATCTATAACCCTAGCCCATGTACTGCTTGCTACTTTAACAGTTGACTCGATTTTCATAAAGCTTACATGAACTGGGAATCAGAATCCTTATCTTTAAAACCTGTGCTTCAGCTGGGTGCAGTGGTGCACGCCTGTAATCCCAGTGGCTGGGGAGGCTGAGACTGGAGGATCATGAGTTCAAAGCCAGCCTCAGCAAAAGCAAGGTGCTGAGCAATTCAGTGAGACCCTTTTGGAAAAATACAAAATAGGGCTGGGGATGTGGCTCCTGGTCAAGTGCCGGAGTTCAATGCCTGATATCCCTGCCAAAAAAAAAAACCCAAAAAAACAAAAAAACAAAACAAAAAAAAAACCCCTGCGCTTCATCACACAGGAGTAGCAGAACTAGGATTTGCATTTAGGCTCCATTTAACTATTTAGAAGTTTCTGTTTATTGTTTTAAGAGGCAGTGTATAAAGCATTACAAACTTATCTTCCCAATATAGTGGGTTATGATCATAGATTTTTCATTTTTGTACTGTGATTATTAGTTTGGTTTTTAAATAAAAGTTATACATGATTGATATAAAAGATCCAGTTCCAATAAATTTACCACAAACTGTTAAATATATTAATGGGAAAAAATAAGATCATCCCAAAGCAAAGTTCCAAGACACTCTTTGGTGAGATCATGGAGAAGAGTTTTACAGACTTCACACTGATAAACAGTTGTCAGCATTACCACCTTCAGATTGTTTCCCTCAGAAATATTTGTTATAAAAACTTAAAAATCAAAATATATTTTCCTTAGTACACAAGATAACCTAGAGTACTCACTTTCTGGCTTAAAAACAAAAAAGCCAAAAACTCCAAACAGATAAAAACCCTGAGTGTCAGAACAAGCAAACTGGTAACAAAAGGAACAAAATCCATACCCTTTCTTTTTTCTAGTAACTGTGTATTCACTAGCTGCATTTGGAGGGAAAACCAACCAATTCCAAATTCATGAACTTACTGCCAAGTACCTGACACATTCACTCCAGGACAGGCAAATATATTTGTCAAAAAGGTCCAGGCTGTGGTAAATTTTCAACAAACAGTCCTGAGCAGATCTTAGAGGGAACTTGTATCACATCACAAAAATTGAGGAGTGGTAAAAGCAGGTTGTGGGGAGTAGGGAAAATAATTAATTGTGAAGAAAAGCCCAGGCTTCCTTGGAAGCCAAAGGCACACAGAGTATTCTATTCTACATAAGAAACACTGATTTTATGATTCCACATGACCTCAAGGACACAAAAGAAAGTAAACTTGTATGATTTTTTTGAGGTTAAAGTAATCTCTAATCTTAAGAAGCCCAAGACCAAGGTCTAAAGATGAAGAGACAGATAAAAGAGTATTCTTCAACTTTTCTTCATTGCACAGGGAAATCCCCCTGAGGTAAGAATAAGAGAATTTGGTAAGTTGGAAAACATTTCTATCTTTATATTAAAATTACGTCTGACTATTGATGTAAGTTTCATAAAAGTAAATATCATAAAGATTTTAAGAAGCAATCTTAGGTCTTTTTCAACTTCTTAATTACCATTTCAAACCTTTCTCAGGTTGGGCTGAATGGTAAAACTTACAGAGRCCCTTCCAAAGCAATGAATATTTTCTAACTATGATCTTGTTTTACATAAAAAATACCAGCAAATCTCCCTTTTTTCATTCTTTAATAAAGCATTGAATACTCAAGTTTCAAAATAGACTTTCCTTTGCCATTTCTCATACATGGAACTTTTATTTTAGTATTTTTGATAGTAATGCCTGGTTAGGTTATTATGAGGGCAAGGCTATTTTTTAGTAGACCACACTTTTTATCCCACAAAGCTAACTTTTCAAAAATCACAATTTATGTATAAAATAATGTAGGCTTATAATCTACTTTATTATAAAAGGAAATAAATCTTGGCACATAATTATTATAGAAAACAGAATATTCAGAAAAGTTCAAATTCTTCAGTATGAAAATACATTTGTCTGAAAAATACTTACTTATAAAAACATATTGCCTTTGCCATGTGAAAATCTGGTGTTTAGTTCTCTAGATTTCTTTATTAGGGCTTTTTTCTGAGCTTCATCAAACCGATTAACCTTGAGATCCTTATCACGGTCAAATGGTATTCTCTCTTGGGGCTTATTTTTATCATCAGCAGCCTTACTTTTTAATTTTTTATGATGAATGTCCATAAGAGATTCTGATCTTTTTGACTCCTGGGGGAAACAGGAGAGCAGTGATCAAAACCTAGCTTGTGTAAATTACTGACAGAATATCATCATGAAACAAAATAGATAGCAACAGCACACATTAAGGAGGGTTTTTTACAAACTCAGACAGGTTTTTCCAAATCCAAGATCACATCTGTGAAGATAATACATATCAAATGCTTTCTAATTCTTTATTTTCAACAAAACCAAAGGAGGCTAAAAGAAAATCATTAAATTTTGCTAAGAAAAAAAAAGGCAATCAATATATACAGCATGGAGAAACAGTTAAGAACTAAATTTCAAATTAGAAAAATTAGAATTGCAAGGACAGTGCTGCTGTTTTCAGCAATGGTAACCTTTAGCAAGTAAGTGAAGCCTCATATTCTCAATTGTAAGACGGCAGCAGTCAAGGTAATAATTTGTAAATATTTGGGTGAGGTAGGAGTTAAATGATCTGATGAATGTAAAGGATTTAATATAGTGTCAGGTATGAGAATCAGTCAATAAATGCTGTGTTGGATTTACTGTATTTACTCTACTATAATCTTTACTATCTCTAAAAACTGAATGTTATTATTCCTGATGTATAGATGCTGAGTGATGCAATTTTTCCAAAGGAGCCATTTCTGTATCGAGGCATTTCTGTATCCTCCTCCCTTCTGCTAGTGATGGTCTAAAAGCTGGGGGTCAACAGAGGTGAGGCAAAGAACCTCACCCCCTCCACTGGCACCAAGGCCAAACTTGGGGGCCAACAGAGGTGAGGCAAGAACCTCACGCCTCCCCACTGGTGCATAGGCCTATCCACAAGTATGGCTGTATGCTGGACYGGTAGTCAGTGACGGGTATGATCCAATTGCAGTGGTATCAACCTAAGATAGGAGGCTGACGCCTAGAGGCCAGTTTTTCCCATGACGGGTAAGAACGATATGTTGAATTGGACAACCTACCAGGCACGGTCCTTAAGCCACATTGCTTGTTGTTTAATTAATCAGAAGGGGGGAGATGCTGAGAGCCATGAGCCAAGTAGGTATGACAATTTCTTTCAGCGTACCCCATGTTGCTTAGAGGAAGGACTTGCCTTGGACATTTGAAGTGACATTGCATGTATGTTTGAGAAAGGTGACCCTGCTCAAGGACCAGGGTGGATCCGGGTTTAGGGAGGATCCTACTGGATTAGGGTGGTTCCAGGTTTAAGGTGTATCCTGCTGCCTCAGGCATGCCSGCTCCTTGAGTTCCCATTGAGTTCTCCTGGGATTCAGAGAGTATTTTTGGGATACAGAGCTGAGTGGAGGTGTGAATTTTGCCCAGAACATGGATTTTGCGAGAACCTGGATTTCCCCAGAACCTGTGTGTAGAGTGCTGGTGAGAGTTCGAGAGTAAAGAGTTGCTGTTTGAATCTACAAGGTGTGTGGTGGCTCGTGATTTTGTGCCCAGCCAGACTGCGGCATATAGATATGTAAAGAAAAAATGAAAGGACAAATTTATGGGACCAATATGAAAAAAAAGTCTTAATGAGCTGATAGTTGAGATCATTAGTAATTTTATTTATAGGTCAATATGAGGTTTAAGAACACATAAGTTGATACAAGAATTGAATATATCATTGAATATATCATTTCCATTTTCTTCTTTTTATAAACTTGATTTCTTAACTATTAATCAAACAAACAAAAGAACACAATTGAGACTAAAACCTTTTTCTAGTAATAAGTAACACTCRTCCAAAGACCAGGATCTAACAGGAAAAATAGTCTTTCATTAAAGAGATTAAATTAGGGGCTGGGGATGTGGCTCAAGCGGTAGCGTGCTCGCCTGGCATGCGTGCGGCCCGGGTTCGATCCTCAGCACCACATACCAACAAAGATGTTGTGTCCACCGAGAACTAAAAAATAAATATTAAAAATTCTCTCTCTCTCTCTCTCCTCTCTCACTCTCTCTTTAAAAAAAGAAAAAAAAAGTTAAAAAAAAAAAGAGATTAAATTACAATTAAATTAAATTTTACTTATTTTTTTTGGAACTAGAGATTGAATTCAAGGTGCTTTATCATTGAGCTACATTCCCAGCCCTTTTAATTTCTTATTTTGAGACAGGGTCTTGCTAAATTGCTTAGGGCCTTGCTAAATTGCTGAGGCTGGCCTCAAATTTGTGATGCTCCTGCCTCAGTCTCCTGAGTTGCTGGGATTACAGGCGTGTATCATGGCTACATTTTACTTTTTATGTTACTATTTATCAAAATGAATAATGTATTTAGACTTTTTTTTTTTTTTAAACAGTACTGAGAATTAAACCCAGGCCCTTGCGCATGCTAGGCAAGTGCTCTTCCATTGAGTTATACCTCCAGTCCTTTTCTATCTTTTATTTTGAGACAGGGTCCTGCTAAATTGTTCAGGCTGGCCTCAAACTTGCACTCTTTGTGTCTCAGCCTTCCAAGTAGCTGTGATTATAGGTGTATTTCTATGCTTAGTCATTTACATGGTTTTATCAACTGAAATTACAACTTAATTTAGAAATTAACATTAATGTTAACACATTTAATGTTAACATTTAAAGTTAGACACAGGAAATTTAAAATCTTTTCAATTTCAATTTATGTGCATATTTTTGTTGCAGAGAAACATGATTTACCAAAATAGTTGTAAAATATGAGTTTCAAGTGCAGAAGTAAATTCTACTAAGACGTGGAATTCTGTAGCAGAAGAGAAATGAAACTGAACTTAAAAAAAAGGAGAAATAAAATTGTTAAGGAAGAGCTTGTTCACAGATATCTTTTAATGGATTATATTAGATATGGAATTGCTATGGCATTTAAGATTCTATTTGAAAAATTTAATAGTAAGATAATATGCTATAAATTATATCTTTGGTAACTATTAAAACTTATAATTAAATATTTCAGATGTCAAGTAAAAATATACGTTTTTCAAATTTCTTTTAGGGGACACCTAACAAAAATATTTKAAGACTATGGTTTCCATCCCTGACTGGCTGAAAAGATTTACGGATTCCTGAGTCTCATTTTAGATTCAGTGAATCAAAACTGCTAACTGGGGGCAGAAATGTGTGCTTTACCACCCATATTCTGAGACAGGTAATTCACTGGATGAGACTCTCTGGTGTAGATCATTCCTGGTATCAATGTAAGAGAGGATGCCAACCCAAAGGAGAAGTGGAAAACAGTTAATTTTAGGATATGAAACCATATGTGTAATGTAAGTATAATGATGTTYGTCTAAATGTCAAAAAGCTGACTATAAAAACTTGATGTTTTTCCTTCCTGTTCTTGAATCCATGTCTTTCTCTGCTAATTTATAAGGTAATAAAATGAGGGGGGGGGCAACAGGTTAATAATTACAGCTGGAAGGGGAAGGTCTGAAGACTTGGAAAAGAACTGGAGGAAACAAAGTTCAAAGTAAATGCAAAGTCTGAAGTAAATGCATGCTGATGTGAGAAAGAACAGAATGGGAAAGGCCCTATTACTTTATCTAAAGCTATTACTGAGAAAAATGATTTATATTAATGAGAAAAACTTTTGTATAAAAGTTAACAAAAAGCAAATAAAAATAAAGAAACAAAGACAGCAGGTTTCAATGTACTGATTTCCTATATTAGTTAATTAAACATTGATAGATATGGGAATACATTGAACTAGTGGAGTATTATAATCAATGTAAATAATCCAAGTGCTCAAATTTATGAAGATAAAAGAAATGAATCTTCATATTAGTTGTTGCAAGAGTGCTACTGGTGGTCTGGTTTAGTACAATCTGTACACGTGATACATAGGACCAAACTAGTGCTAAACTATAAAAAAGTTTATAAAAACACCCAGAAGTAGTTGTTTCAATGCAAATAATGAGTTGAAAGCCAATTCATATAGAAATCAATTTGCTAAATGACCAATCTGCTGAATCATCACATTTAATCATTAAACAAAAATTTATAGTATTTAAAGTGATTTATTTTGAATGGAATGGTTTAAACAGCTTTTAAAAGCTTATTCTTAATTTCTAATTGATTGATTTTTATTGTCTTYGTGGTAATATTTTAAAGAGTCCTCAATTTACCAAATGCTGAGATTTGGGGTTAAAGAATGATTTAGTGTTAAGAGATTACATTAATATTTTGAAGAGTAAATTTTATAATAAGTAACCAAAATTTTAGCATAAGATTAAACCCCTAATTTCTTGGATGCATTTTTAGGTAACCTACAGACCTCATTACATACTCCCCTAAAAACTTTCTTTAAAGATAAATTTACATATTTGTGCAATGAAGTACCCAAATATTAAGCACATATCCACTAAGCTTTATAATCCAATCAAGATCTAGAATTCTCCCATCACTCCRGAAAGCTCTGTATGCTGCTTCCTAGACAAATCTCACAACCCTACTCCAATAATACTAATGTGATTTTCTTCCACCATAAATTGATTTAGCATATTATAAATTTCCATATAAATAGTATATACTTGCTCCAGACTTCTTTCACTAAGCACAATGAGTTTGATTCATCCACATGGCTGCATTTATTTATAATTTGTTACTTTTCATTGCTGAGTAGGGTTTCATTTATACTATGGTTTGGTTTTTCTTTCTCTTATTAATGGATACCTGGGTTATTTGTAGTATTCAGCTATTATAAATAAGCTTCTATGAATATTCTTGCATAAGTCTTTTTTAGGTCAGTATAAATATAGCATGTTCTACTTTTTGTGTGGAGGGGAACCCAAGAGTGAAACTGGGGTGTCATAGGGTAAGTGGGAGTGTAATTTTATAATAAGAAATGTCACTTTGGAGAAAGTGTTCTTTTCTAACATAAYCATTATGCTATAAATTTGGCTCTAAGCACCACTTCATATTGCATCCTACACATTTTGACATGTTGCATTTCTGTTATTCAGTTCTAGGAATTTTCTAACTTTTCATTATCATTTCCACTTTGTTGCAAAATTTGAATTTTGAATTTTTCTAATTACCAATTTTTTCTAATTTTAAATTATTATGAATTTTAACTTAAATTCCTTGTGGTCAGAGAACATGTTCTGAATGATAGTTGTTCTTTCAGTTTGGTGGAGACTTGACTTTTGCATTATCAGTTTTAATAAATGTTTCATAATGGGTTAAGTTTTGGTCTGTTTCCAAAAATATTTCATTTATGCTTCATTGTTTGTGATACTGGTCAATATATGTCCAATAAATCAATTTTGATAGAGCTTCATACTAAAATGCAGGGAACAGAAGATACTTTTCCTAAATACTTGTAGACCTTTCAGAGAACAATGGGTTCTGTAATTTATATTTATTATTTGAAATAGAATACTCTCTAGTTTTTAAGAGAAAAGAGAACAACAAAAAATGATGTATGCCAAGTGAATAAGATCTTAGCAGAGAAATGTACATTGAATTTTACTTTGGAAACATTTTTCTCTGATATTTAAGTTTTTCCATAAAGTACTCCAAGTATGCTTATAATTTAGATTTATGAACTGAGAATATCTATGACTTAGTAGAACTCTTGCTTGCTGATCAAGTGCTACCTAACTCTAGTAATTAATTTTCTGATAAATACCTTAGGTAAAATAAAAATTAAAAATATTTCATAGAATGCATAGAAAGATTTTGTATAAATATACATATATAGCAGTCAAGTATTTTTCAGGATTGATGCGTAGAAAATGAGGCAAAGAGGCAATCATATAAAGAAACAAAAAAAAATGAGAAGAGAATTGAAAGATAAAAGAGTATATATTTAATTTTATTACTTACATTGTATGAGGATACCTGCTCAGCCAACCTCTTATCTCTTCCTGACAATACATATTCCTCATCCTTCTTACTAGATGACTTTCTTGCTTCTTGTGTTTCCTGAGGAATGCAAACAGATAACACACTATTGAGACATATCATTAAGATATAATGACAAAGAAATATATTCTTTTTATTTAGATTAAGTAACAAGAAACTGAACTCAGCCAGGCTTCTTGAATTCCTTTCATTCAGCAGTATTTATATACATAATAAGGGATCTGTTAGTGTTCTATGATTTTCCTGAAAATAAGAAAACAAACAAACAAAGCCAAAAAAACCTCAAAAGCAACAAATGCAAAACYGTATCTAAACAATAACTGCAAGAACTCATGTATTTATCAAACTCAGGATAAGTTTTGACTAATAATGATGGAATATAAATAGGCTTAAAAACAAATTCTCCATTTTGTTTTCAAAAATAGTAAAAATAAAAAGGTATACATATTAATAAAAAAACTATCTTTATTTACAGAGAGTATACACAACCCCCCATCCCCAACAAATCTACCAGAAAACCTCTTGGAACTAACAAGCAAATACAGCAAAGTTGTATAACACAAGGTCAATATACAAAATATAACAACAGCGGACAACTGAAATTTGGAACAAAACAAAAATTCCATTCATCATAGCATACATGCATAAATGGGGTATTTAGGTAGACTTTCAACAAACTAAGAAAAAATGTCACTATGATTTTCTATAGAATATACTCCCAATCATGAATAAGGAAGGCACACATAAAAATAAGTGAAAACCATTGTTCTCAAAGTATATTTTTATGTTATTTGCTTAGAAAAATCAAGGAGGCCCTCATTATAATTTTTCCTAATTAATAATGAATTAAAACAACATTTAAAATAAAGTACATTAGGAACATAGGAATAGCACGTTTCTTATTTTCTCATAAAATTTTCTTCAGAAAGCAGAGGTTCTTACTTATAAGTGTTGAGAGAAACGATGTTATGTTAAAATGGAGATGAATATTAAGGAACTGTTAGATCTCAAGACTGGAACCTGAAGATATAATAGATGTCAATTAACTTATGCACAACTTTTTCCTTTCTTTCTAAAGAGCAATCTTATTTCTTTTAGGCCATGTTGGCTAAGTGAAACACAAGAGCATTAGAGTTATGGAGATGTATGTACATTGTGAAATCAAATATAAAAAGCAATATGAAGTGATTGGAGAGAATCTATCAAGAAGGAAATATGGTCAAGATTTGTGACAAAAATTATTCATGAACTTTACATAGAAGCAAAGATACCAGAAAATAAACAGTTTTGGGATCTGATATAGTTAAGATATAGTATACAATGATACTATATACTAAATTTTAAGGGGTATTCATAATTCTTTATATGTCCACTATAAACACTGAACAAAATATTTCAGCACAGAAAGGAACAACCAGGTCTAAAAAACTCAGTCATAGGAATTAAAATCATTTCAATTCAACTGTACTGCCTGGTTTCCATTGGTGTCATTTTTCTGTGATATTTTCCTCTGAGGAGGATTCCTCATAGCTAGTTGTAGGTCAGTCATCCACTTACATATAAGAAATAGGACCCAAACCTATAAATAAATATAGACAAAAATAAAAGATTCATGTAAGCAAGGGAATTAACTGTCTTTTTGGAGAATAGGACAAACAGAATTAGCAGGATGAACTAAATATGGAACTGTTAATATAAAAACTGACGAAGCTACAATCATAAAGTGACAATTACTCAAGCATTTAAGACTTATATAGGGAAAGCCTTTAGATGAAATAAATTCAAGGAGTAGAGTAGTGTTGGGGACACTGGTTCAATGACTAACACATAATGGACTATTTAAAAATAAACAAAAAGCCTTAAGAAGAGAACCTGGGAAAATAATAATGTATCTTGTGTACAGATGTTTTATAATTTGTCTTGGTGATTTATTTATATATAAATGAAGGTGTTTCTTGCTTATCTTGACAGTCACATGAAGCTTGTGCACTGGAGAGAGATTCTTGAGGTATTATGTAATTTGCTAAAAATATACAAGTGTTGTTTTTTCAATAGAGTTTAAAAGATATATTTTCATGTAGATAGTGTGCTGTATAAATACCAAGGAATGTGGAGTTAAAAAACATCTAAAATGGACTTTTTGCTCATCACTTTCTAGCTCTGTGATAACCTGGTGTCACAGAGTTAGTTTCTCCCTATTCTATAGCATGAAGTCAATAAACCTATGTCTCAGGGTTTTCTTGGGATTTAAATGAGGCAGTTTATCAGAAAATAATATACAGTATGACTTTTCTTCTTCATAACTTCTCCTCAGGGAAGAAATATTTTCCCTTTGGAATCATAATTTCAAAAAGTAGTACCTTTAAATAATTTTGCCTCATAGCTTTTCAAAATTGAGCCACCATGAACAGAAACACATAAACAAAACCTCTTACCTTAGCTTTCCTTTCCCTATCAGCTGGAGTATCTGTCCAGATTGATCGATCTCCGGATTTGTCATCAGCTCTTCTCTTAAAGGTCCTTGGCCCTAAACCAAAGTCTTTCATTTCTGGAGGAAGTTCAGTCATCCATGACTCTCTTGTTATTGGTTTAGATGAATCCTTTATGAGAAATAAAAAGTTAAGGAAAAAGAAGCATGAGAAGTGTGTGAGTGTGWGTGTGTGTATAAAAATACTGTATAAACAAATGTTTTTTTCTCAACTGACGTTTTAAATTTACTGAATAGACTTTAATAGAAAAGTTCAATGTTTTTGTCATATACATTTGCCATGCATATAACAAATATTTTCATCCAATTTGTTATTCTGTTGACTATCTCTTGCCATACAGAATATATTTTTAAAAATTTTATTTATTTTATTCATTTGAGTTGTTGATGGACCTTTATTTATTTATTTTTATTTATATGTGGTGCTGAGAATTGAACCCAGGGCCTCATACATTTGAGGCAAGCACTCTACCACTGAGCCACAACCCCAGCCCCATACAGAATATTTTTAGTAGAAAAAAATTGCCAGTCTTTTCCTTTACTGTTTCTGGATTATATAGTGTGGGCACATGCGTATACACACACACACACACACATATATTAATGTTTATTTCAAATATTTAGATTTTTAATCTATTTAGATAGTTTGTTTATTTATTTGTGTGGTGCTGGGGATTGAACCCAGGGCCTTGTGCATTCGAGACAATCACTCTACTAAGTGAGCTATATCCCCAGCCCTCTATTTAGTTTATTAAAGTACCTTTAAAACTTACATCATCTCCTTTGGTTAGTTTTTCTTTCATTCTCTGGGCCCTTTTTTCAAACTCTGTTGTTACACTATAGTTAACTGGTTCTTTTGCAGGCATTGGTCCAACAATATTCTCATCCTCACTGCTATCTGTTTCCTTTGGAAATAAAATGTTACCTTTAATGCAATAGCAGAGCCACAAGTTACTGGAAATAATTTTAAAATACTTAAATTTGACTGAAGTGGATTGCTCAAAGATAATAAAACAAAAAAGCAAACAATGCACTGCTGGCCTATTACTAAACAATAAGGACCTTTTCCTTGCCTTCCTCAAATACACTGTACAGAGATGATAAATCCATGGCACGTGGACTGTTCCATCTCTCCTCCTCAGTCCACAGTAGATCTCATTAAACTATTGAAGCTCTACCTGATAGATATAGATGTAGCCTTAGACTTCTTTTCAACGAAGTATTCTGATTCTTATTACTACTAGGTCAGAGATGATACATTAGAAGCTAATTTTATTCACAGTATATAAAAAGTTCCTTGGAATAAGATGTATGTAAGCAGGGCATTCTTGGGAGCTATATCAGTCTTCATGAAAAAGAAATAGTATGCAATAATTTACAAAATTCTGACCCAAATGAATTAATTCAGTTCTAAAAGTACCTTACTCACTTCAAAGATAAAACAGTATTATGGTAATTGAATTCAACCTGTTCTTATTAAGTCATCTTGACAAATGGTCTCCATGTATGAGTCTGTGTTAGATGCTGTTCATGCTAGGGCTTACAGGTTGTCTATTTCCTCCAGGAGATTTTTTTTTTTTTTTTAAGAATCTAACCTTTATTTTGTTTATTTATTTTTATGTGGTGCTGAGGATCAAACTCAGGGCCTTACTCATGCGAGGCAAGCAATTTATCACTGAGCTACAACTCCAGTCTCTCTTCTAGGAGATTTATTAAAATGAGTAACAACAACATGCTTTTCCTTCAGCTCTGACCGACAGTTTCTGCCTCTTAGGTTTTAAACTAGTGGGATCAGGAGATCATTTATATTGCTTTCATTTTCCCCACTAACCAATCAAATAGATGAAATGTGCAGTCACTTGGACCATGGTGGGTAAAGATGTGGTTGGATTCTGGATGTCTTCTGAAGGCAGGAACAACATAATTTGTTGACATATTCATTTTTGTAACTATATGCCTGACGCACGACAAGTGCTGTAGAAACACTTGTAGAAATAATAAGTAACCTTGAAGTTCATGATCTTAACTATTGGGCTGTATTTACTTTGAGTAACCTTAGTGGTAAATTCTCAGTGGAGATGAACTGGAGTCTCTTGATGACCTGAATTCATTTGTAAGAAGGTATTGAAGCATAAGAGACTGAAGATGTGATTTAAAGTCATATGAACTGGGTTTAAGACATGGCTTCGATAAGCAAAAATCATGTAAACTTAGGTAAATTACCCAATTTCTTTGGTCTTTGACATCTGTAAGGTAATGGATAAAGTTCATTTTATGCAGTTGTGGAGAAGATAAAGATAAGATACCCACGTATGGGTAAAATACACTAACAATGAGAGTGCTATATAAATTTCAGCTATTTTCAAGGAGATAAACAGCCTTCATACTTTACTCCAAAATCATTTGACTTCTTTTCATAAGAAATTACTTAACTACCAGTGTCTTTGTTATACATGTACCAGAACTGAAAAGGAGAGAGTTAATTTTAAGATAAAGACTATTATTAAAATCCTCCTGTTTTCTTTCCTTCAGGTCAAATCACAATGATTCCTTAAACTTTCATCATGTTCTATTTTTCTAATACTTTAAAATCCCCCTTCAAAGTAAGTAGCATAAATAGATAATACTCTGTCAGTCTTGCTGTTTTTCTTAACAGAATTTCAGGTTTTTGAACAGCTTTTGGTTATACGTACATATGTTATAATTTTAAATTAATCTGAATATAACTGAGTCTTATATTACATCTGAGTCAAATGATCACAGTTACCCCTAAAGTTCTGACTTTGTTACATCTTTTCCTTTAAATGGAAACTTTTCAAACCTCAGAATTGAAATTCGATGATATTTGTCCTGGATCATCTCTGCCTTTGTCACTTTTCTGTGCAGATTTAATGAAACCAGGTGGCAATGCAGGACCTATTATAGGCCTGAAAAATAAAATACACATTTATCATTCTCCTTAACTTTAAAGTAGTTTTCAGAATAAAAGCTCACAAAAATAATAAAACCAGATACTAACAAATATTGAAAATAAAAATTTATTCACCATATTATTTTCACCAGTGTTACCTAATATTTTTCTACTTGGTGTCTTAAAAAACTTATTTTTGGCATTTTAAAATTTCTATTTGTTAGTCAATTAGAAATAAACGAATAATTCTCAATCTTTGTGACACTAGTGTGTACCTATCTCCTAAAAAAAACTATACTAAATAAAAATGATAATTTTTTTAAAAAAGGCCTTAGATGTATTGAAACTTATGAAGGTATTTTTTATTTAGTGCTTTGGTTTTCTTTCAGTTGTGATATTCACTTTCCATGGGAAAATACCATAAGGATATTATAATTATACCCAGAACTATTAAAGTAGAAACTGAGTTTTCCTAAAGACAAATATAGCATGTGTATACAACAGATGTCAGTAACTCATGGTATGCATGCCAAGGCAATAAGCTGTGCATGATGCCTGTAATCTCAGTTGAGGCTGAGGCAGGAGGATCATAGGTTTGATGCGGGTCTCAGCAATTTAGTGAGGACCCCAGCAACTTGGCAGGGTCCTTGATAAATTAGCAACTATCTCAAAATTAAGAAAGGACTGGGGCTATAGCTCACTGAAAAAGCAACCTTCGGTTCAATTCCTAGTATCCGAAAAAAAAAAAAAAGCCAATATAAAAATCTATACAACATCCTAATAATCCAGTAAAAATGTGTAAATGTAGAATATAAGTAGTTCATTGTGATCCGTAGAAGAAAAAAGTGCTGTAAGCACATTTTAACCAGTGTACCTGTTTCCTTAAAACAACTCTCATCAGTATAAGCCCTGCTTTCTAGTCATTTCACTTAGGGCAAAATTAACACCTAATATCAACACATCCAGTAAATAGTTGAGCTGGAGTTTAAGCCCTGGCCTATTTGATGCCAAAGGTCATTTTCTTTTGAGCTGCCCCAATGTCATATTCTGAGGAAACRTTTTGACATTAGTTAAAAAAGAGAATTTCTTGAATTCTGAGACTGATTTTTTTCTGTGTTTTTTTTCCCTCTTTATTTTCTCTATTTGGCACCATAAATACTAATATTTATGATTATTATTACTTGGATTTATTCTTGAGAGGGAAAAGCCATCATTCTCTTTCTCCTATATTAGCATTTATTTTTATTTTTATTTTTTTTTATTAGCTACACATGACATTACAGTGATCTTGGCAATTCATACATTTGAATCAATGAGGTATAATTTCTCATTTTTCTGATTGTACAGATTGCAGAATCACACTGATCATAGAATCACCCATATACATACAGCAATCATAATGTCTATTCTATTCTGCTACCCTTCCTATCCCCCCTTCCCCTCCCCTCCCCTCCCATCAGAGCCTAATTTTATGTATGGAAAAAATACATCTTTTCTCCTGTTAATACTTACCAGTTTCTTCACCCTTGCTTTTGTACCAATGTTTTTTCCATAGTTGTTGCTGTGCCAGTGTAACTGACACAGATGGCACCGAAGTCCTAAGCTAAATCCCCCAGGTTGCACTGTGCTCAATTAGAGTCTCACAGATAGACTTCTTGGCAGGGAAGAAACAGTATCGAGAGCCAGAAAGTCTGGGTTCTGAATTTGACCATTTAATAACCTCCTGTCTTGGTTCATGAAACCTTTTTAAGCATAACAATTTTGCAGATGAAAGACGTGGAAGTCTGGCACTGCTGGATCCAATTAGTTATTATTTATAAGCTAGAAGGAAGTACAGCATGGGTTTTTCTGAGTATAATTTTTAGTAGAGCTATGCCTACAATTATAGTTCAATTTTCTGGCCTCAGGAGGTTTGTTGAAATAAAAGTAGTAGTCTATAAAATCCTAGAATACAGTAAATATAACCATGGCATGCTATAGTTGTGTATGAGTTTTTCACTCTAATTTATGCTACTAGCTATTTATTTACACATAGATCTTATTATTGCCAAATGTAATTCTCAAAAAAGAAACTGCTATAGATCTAAGTATAGGTTGAGTCCTTAGCCAAAATGCTTTGGACCAGAAGTRTTTCAATTTCAGATTTTGAAATATTTTATGTTGTTTTGTTTATGATGTGGCTTTATTTTTTTCAGATTTTGGAATATCTGCATAAATAGATATAGATATATCTTGGGGATGGGACCCAAGTCTAAAAATGAAATTCATTTATGTTTCAAATCCAACTCATACATAGCCTGATAGTTACATCAATGTCAATATTTTAAATGATTTGTGTATGAAACAAAGTAAACACTGAACCATCAGACTTGTCRTGTAACGTCAGTGCTCAAAAAGTTTCAGATTTTGGAGCATTCTGAATTTCAGGTTTTCAGATTAGAGAYGATCCATGTATAACGTGCTTTTGTTTTTAAAAAATGCTTTATCTCAGGAGGCAGCAAATTTTCTCTGAAGGGCTAAGCAGTAAATTTTATTTATTTATTTTATTTTTTATTTTTTGGTATCAGGGATTGAACTCAGGGTACTTAACCACTGAGCCATATCCCCAGCTGTTTTTATGTTTTATTTTGAGATAGAGTCTTGCTAAGTTGCTTAGGACCTCACTAAATTGCTGAGGATGGCTTTGAAATTGTGATCCTCCTGCCTTAGCCTCCCAAGCTACTGGGATTACAGGCATGTGCCACCATGCCTGGCTAGGCAGTAAATTCTAAAGTTGGAGGGCCACAGGAGACTTTTTTTGTAATTAAAAAATGTGAAAGTCTGGGGCTGGGATTGTGGCTCAGTGGCAGAGCTCTTGCCTCGCACATGTGAGGCACTGGGTTCCATCCTCAGCACCACATAAAGATAAATAAACAAAATAAAGATATTAAAAAATATATCCATTTTAAAAAATGTGAAAGTCATTCTTAGCTTTGGGACTAAAAAAAAAAGGTGGTATTTGYCTATCCTTGTCATATCTAAAAGAAATAGAGTACATGGAAAGAGGACTTGCTACATGGTGATTATAAACTCTGGTTATCTTTTCTGCTTGGCCTTGCAAACTGGTATCTATTGTACGAATTATATACAATTTAGTATATAATTTTATGTTCAATACTTTAAAATTTTGCAGTTCTGAGAAGACAACAGGAATCAATGTTTTCTATATACTTACTCTGGGCTAGTCACCATGTAAGACACACACACAGACAAAAACATGTTGTATGCATGAGAGTAGGAAATCTCAACCATTGTAACATCTAGAAAGGTGTATGTCATTGTTCTATTTTACATAAGACAAATTTGATGTTCAGAGAAATTGTCTAATTTGACATATAGGGGTTTGTTTTTCTATCAATAAATATCTAAGAAAATAATTGAATAACAAGTCAGAACATCAGGATCCAAGCCCATGGTCTACCACTTATTATGGGTGCCACTGTATTTGTTTAATCAGGAAAAGGGATAATATTCCATCCAGTCTATCACCAAACACTTTTGAGACTATCAAATAAGAGATGTGGACATTTTTTAAATAATTCATATAAGTGTCAAAAACATGTGAATATTTGTTTATTATTGGAAATAATTATTTTTTCCTATTAATGACCCATTTCAAATGTTATGAAAATATGTTAAAAATAATTTCAGAAAACTCTTTAATCAATTAACAGACAGTGAAATATTAAAAGAGACTAGCCTGAAATATTAAACATTATTACCTGGGAGGAGAATCATCCTGCTTTTTAAATCCAGGAGGAAGGGCTGGTCCAAAAAACCCATCATCATCATCGTCGTCCTGATTTCTCCTCTGTTTTCTGAAAACACAGCAGTAGATCTTAATGCATATGTCAAAAATTTCTCATAAAGAAAAATTTTAATTTTTAAAGGAAGTATTAAGTTTAACTAATTGTGTAAACACTAAATCAATAAATTAATCTTGCCAAATAATAAAAAATGAACAATATAGTAGTTCTTAATTAATCTTTTCCTGGAATTTTTTTTTTTGGCTTAAAATAGAGATTGGTCATATTTTAAAGAGGTACTATATCAGTATTCTATATTTTCTGTAGTATTAAAGATTTCACTAAATGGAAGAAGATTTCACTAAATGTTTCTTAGTGAAAAGCATATGAATTTGGCTTTTAGTCTCACTTAAGGGTCTTTTTGTCTCATAATTTTTTAAAAAAATATTTTTATTAGTTATAGATGGACACAATGCCTTTATTTATTTTTTATGTGGTGCTGAGAATCGAACTCAGTGCCTCACACATGCTAGACAAGTGCTCCACCACTGAGCCATAATCCCAGTCCTGTCTCATAATTTTTTAAATGCATCAAAATACCTTGTTACCCAATAACAAAGATACAACTTCTTATTTACATGGATCCAGGGTAAATGAGGGTAGATTAGAAGAAAATCATTGATTTATTTAAACAAATATCTATTGCATATACAATTTTAAATAAAAGAAATTCTGTGGTTTATTTGGTATATTTAGTCACTTCGATATACTTTAAGAAAAAATTCTTTTATAAGAATTTTATTGAAATTTTAAATATCTCCACAGCCTATACACTACTAGAATAAACTTCTTTATAAAAAGTTTAGTTTATGATGGAATGCCATATAAAATCATTTCTTCCTGCACTATATAAATATCCCTTTACTAGCTATATGTTCCAGTCAACTTATGCTAGGTCTGCAACTTGGTTTGTTAAATTTAAGTGACTTACCTTGCAGTTGGACCAGTGTCATCTTCTTCGGATTCTTGATTTCCTTCTTCAGACAAAGAACTACTGTCCTCGTCACTGTCTGACGAATCTGAACTACTGCTTTTATAATTAGGRGGCAGAGCTGGTCCTGCAACTAAAGAAGATTTGTTGTGTGTATCATGACTAGCCTTGACTATTTAACTGAGGCCTCCTAGCTGATATTTTTCACTTTCTTTTCTGAAATTCACAGCACTGGCTGCCTATCATGTATTATGGACTTGAATCTAAATCTCTCCTGTGTTTGTCAGAAAGACAAAAACTCCAGGAAGGCTGAAATCAGATCTTATACCACTTCTTTTATGAAAGTCACAAAATCTTTAATACCCAAACTTATAACAAATAACATATTTCTCTGATAATTGGCAATTTTTGCATTGGTTGGAATACCTACCAATACGGCTTCTGATTATGTTTTTTATCAACAGCATATGGTAAGCAACATTTATGTCATGGAGCTAACCAACCAACAAACTTGCCATTCCATACCATATGTATTGAAAATAAAAAAATGATTCATTCTGATTTCTAACAGCTACAACTTTAAAAAATATCTTTACTGGCATCACAATATTTCTCAGTTTTCTTTTCAATCTGATTTTTTTAAGCACAAACAAAATTAGTCACTGTCATTTTTACTGCTTGATCGTAGAGAAAGAAAAAAGAATGAGGCTACACTGTGGTAGAGATGCTAGGAAGAGAGTAAGGGTCTTTGAGGACAACTTGTTAGAGCACTTTGCTCAGCAAAATTAAAAATTACTGCCTGGTGTCAATGCATGATATTATAGACACAACTGTCCATGCTAATCCTCAGTGGTGATGCCAAAAGTATACTGTACTAATTCCCCAAACTGGATGTTTATCAGACTAGTCAAAACATTACCACCCCCCCCAAAAAACCAAAACCAAGCAACCAAAAAAAAAAAAACAAAACCCTGAGCCCTTTTCTCAGAGATTATGATTCAATTGGCCTGAAAGAAGGCCTGAAAATATAAATTTCCAAACAGCATTCTGAGTATGACAGTCATTAAACAACAAATAACATGTCTTGAGTTCTTATGTTCTGGGTACTGTTTAAAGAGGTCTATATTCATTAATTTATTTAATTCTGACAACAATTTTACTAGGGAGGTATTATTCTTATTTCTATTTTACAGATGAAGAACTGAGGCACAGAAAGATTATACGTAACTTGCCCAACTTCACACAACTAAACAGTGGAGCTGGGATATGACACACCAGTGTGATTTCAGAGCCTATTCAAACAAGAGGATGAGTCTTATGCTTCCTTGACTACTAAACTGACCAATATTCAACAGAGTCAACATCCAACCACCCATCCAACAAATATTTATTGAACAAATACTTCCAAAGAAGCAAACATAAAAAGAAAGAAGATCAATCCAGATAGTTGAAGTGCTGCTACAAAATAGGAAAATATGTGAGAGAGTAATTTTTTAAATTTTTATTTTTGAGATAGGTTCTTGCCAAGTTGCCCGGACTAGCCTTGAATTTTGATCCTCCTGACTTAGCCGCCTGAGTAGCTGAGATTACAGGTATTTGCCACCACACCTGCCATGTGAGAGGTTTCTAAGTAGTCAGGAACACCTCTCTGAGAAGGCCTTTAGATGAAATTAAATGATGAGCTGACTGGCCATGCAATGATCTAAAAGAATAAGATTCTAGCCACATACAGTGTGTATGCCTATAATTCCAAAGACTCAGGAGGCTAAGGCAGGAGGAATGCAAGTTTGAGGCCAGCTTCAGCAACTAAGTGATACTCTGTCTCAAAATAAAAATAAATAAATAAAAGAACTGGGTATGCAGTTCAGTGGTAAAATACCCTTGGGTTCAATCCCTAGTATATGTAAATCAATAAATCAGCATTTTAGATAAAAGAGACTGTGGGGGCGTGGGGAATCCTATGGAGAGAACAGGCTTTATACACTCAAGGAACAAAAAGGCCAGCATGGCTAAAGCAAAGTAAGTAAAATGACAAGATAAAGCTAGATGGCATAAAGGGGCAAGATTCTGTGCTTTGGAGTTAGATTCATTGACCCTGAATTACAGCCCAGTCACTTATTAGCTGTGTGACTTGGAGAAGTTACTTAACCTTCCTGTGTTACAGTCTTGCTTTGTAAAAATGAGGTTAGCAATAGTTTCAACTTTCCAGGATAGTTGTGAAGACAACATCAGTTAATATATGCAAAGTATCTGGAGTAATAAGTGCTTAATAAATGTGAGTATAGGCTATGAAAAGGAGTTTGGATTTTAATTACAACAGGCAGTTATAAGGAGGTTTTCAGTCAGAAGAGACCTGAATTAACTGAAAWTTTTTTTAAAAGCTGCTTTTAGACAACAGATGAGATATTAAGAGTAGGAAATATATATTAGAAAGTTAAGAAATGGTTTTATCTGCAACATACTTTGGAGGAAGAACAAAGAGGATTTGCTAATCATGTAGATGTGAGAAGTGAAGGGGAAAAAAATCAAAAAAGAGTATAAGTCTTATAACTGGATGGAAATGGTATTCTCTCATGTCGGGAGACTTCTAGACTAAGAGAAGAGATTTAGTGGGAAGAGTCAAGGTTTGTTTTTCACAGGCAGTACTTGAGCATACTAGTGTAAACCTCAGGGGAGAAATTAAGGCTAGTTTTGGGATCACTGACCTACTTCTAATTTTTTTTTCCCTATCTGTTCTGGAGTATTACTATAGAACAAGTGATTTTTTTTTGAAATTGCAAATAAAAAGTTTAACTTCCGAAACTGAATTCATCATTTATATACAGTAAAGCATAGTCCACTCAAATTTAGGTTAAGTATAGGTACAGCACTTCAACAAAACAGCTTTCCTAAAAGGTCACAGGCAGATGAGTGATTCCTCTTACCCAGAATACTTATGATTTGAAATGGAAAAAAAMACCTGTTTTTAGAGGTTAAAGCAAAAACTTTGAAGACATWTAGAACAAGTGCTTATACTCAATAAGCCGACTTAAAAATTCAAAATTAAGTATAAAAAATTTTGATGTACTTTCAGTATTTGTATCTTTAAAGGAAAGAGTTTTAGAAAATAAATGTTAAACTTCCACTATTGCATTGCCTTATAGTAAAGCAGCAAAAATAGGAAAACATTAAAACTTAAGAATCACATTCATACCTATGTCTTCTGTTTATTGAAGAATACTTAATGCCTCAGTATGCAAATGTCCCCCAACTATAAATGTGATTATATCTGACCTCTGACCTCAATGAATAATCTATCCTGCTAGGAGATTGGGGAACTGTGTTTTGCTCTCATAGTGATTAGTTCTTTTCATCCTGTTCTTGGTTTTAAATATTAAAGAGGGATTTTTTTCTCTTTTATTTCTTCCTTTTCTTATATGTGGGTGCTATCAATGTAACTATCAAGTGGACACTACTGGAGAGTTTTAGATTGGTTTGTATCAAAAAGAAATTTTATTATTCTTTTATACAATTCAAGTAATTAAAGAGCTTAATATGGTCTAAATATGTGCTGTCCTTGGTATTATAACTAACAGATAAATTTGCCTTGAGTTTTAAAAGTAGGATATAAATTTAAAAAGAAGAATAATCCTAGTGACTTGGGAGGCTGAGGCAGGAAGATTGCAAGTTCGAAGCCAGCCTCAGCAATTTAGCAAGGCCCTAAGCAATTTAGCGAGACCTGTCTCAAAACAAACAAACAAACAAACAAACACCCAGAATAAGCAGATAAAGATAAAACTCATCCAAGAACACATGTCCTTATCTTTTAAAATGATGATGCAAATAAGTGACATTCAGTACATAAAATCACAATATCTATTTTATTCTGTTGGCAATAGAGATTGAACCCAGGGCTGCTCTACCACGGAACTACATCCCCAGCCCTTTTTATTTTATATTTTGAGACAGAGTCTTGCTAAGTTGCTGAAGCTGGCCTCAAACATGTGATCCTCCTCCCTTAGCCTCTCCCCGAGTTTCTGGGATTACAAACATGCACCAAATCATTAATTTCTATTTGAGCTGAATCAAGAGAAATAAGTATTATATAAGGAAATAACAAAATACTAAGMGATGGTAAAATAAAGAAAAAGAATATTGAAAGTGCAAATGAATCTACATTATTGACTTCCTAATAAAATTAAGGACATTCCTGGCTTTATTTTTTTTTATAAGTTTCTGTCTTCTGAACTATATAATTTATCTCAAAAATGATCTTAGGCACATGTAATGAACTTTTTCATATCTTTCCTAAMTCTGTGACTCTTATGATTAAGAAGCTCCTCTTCAGGCTGGGGATATAGCTCAGTTGGTAGAGGGCTTGCCTCGTATGTGCAAGGCCCTGGGTTCAATCCCCAGTACCACCAAAAAAAGAAGCTCTCCCTCTGCAATGGTAATTTTACATCATTACAAGTTCCATGAGAACGGGGTCATGCTTAGGTTTCATTGTATTTTCCTTGCAACATCCATCACACAGAATTATGCATACAAAAAACGGACTCAGTATAATATATAAAATCTCATTACAGTCAGCATTAACATTAACAGATGAATATCTGCAATTGTTTGTTTTGCAATTGATTTTGATGTTTGGGGACATCAACCCTGAATCCCAATTAAATGAAATGTTATTACCCCCCCCCAAGGTAATGCCATTCTTCTCATTAGTAGACTTGTAAAAAAAAAAAAAAACATGTACTTCATCATGTTATGTTTTGAATTGCAACAAAAATTTGCAGACATTTGAGCTGGGTACAGTGGCACATGCCTATAATTGCACCTACTTGGAAGATCGACACAAGATTCCAAGTCTGAGACCAGCCTGGCAACTTAGCAAAATAAAACACATAAAGGGTTGGGAATATAGCTTAGTGGGAAAGTACCCCTGCATTCAATCCTCAGTACTGAAAAAGAAATTGTTTTCTCTTGTTATATATATGTTAATCTGCAAAGCCTAAAATATTTATTATCTGGTCCTTTCATGAAAAACGCTTACCCCATAACACGATTAAGCTATGGAAAGAGCACCCAACCTAGTCTTTCACAGGCCATAGGTAGAAATGTCCAGAGAATGTTTCCTAGAAAAAGTGATGGTTGACTGGAGCCTAAAATATAAGAGAGTTAGCTGGGTAAAGCAGGTGAGGATTGAAAAAAAAGTCATTTGATCRGAAGGAAATGTTATCTGCTAACGAGTAAAAGCAAAGAAGCCAAGCTCACAGAGAACAGAAAGGTGTTTGGGATGGCTGAGACCAAGAGAGGAGAGAAGGAAGGATCAGTGGGGTTACATGCTACTGTGAGCTCAAGCAAGATCAGGAATGAAAAGAAGCCTTGAATTTAGCAATAAAATGATATTTATTTCCACAGAGAAATTGGTGAGGGTAGTCTCAGTGGCTTGGCAAGAGCAGAGGCCAGGATGCAGTGGGGTTAGGATAAAATGGAGGATCCAGAGACAGTAAGAGAAGAGCAGCTAGTGGGAGGTATGAAGTAGAATTTTCTTAAAAGATGGGAAAGATTTGAACATGTGGTTAAATGTTAAGGGTGTGAAGCCCTGAGGAAAAAGAAGGAATCCAGAGTAAAATGTAGAATTTGTGTTGGAAGGGCACAGGACACCTCTTCCACTGTTATGAAAGGAAGACAAGAATAGATTCAAGAACATTTTTAGTTATTGTAACCAACTTCTGGGAAGTTCTATTATGATGGCATCCACTTTGAAGTACAAAGAGAGATACAAAGTTTAAGAAAGAAAAAGAAGGTATTAAAAAGCCACAGTTACAGGCTGGCAATGTGGCTCAGTGGTAGAATTCTTGCTCAGCATGTGCAAGGCCTTGGGTTCAATCATCAGAAACACACACACACACACACACACACACACACACACACACTTGTGAGTGTGTGCCAGGGATGCTAATGAGGGGAAGAAACCTAAGTGAAACCTGTGAGGATTCCTGGGCAGAATTAAGGAAACAGTTAGGGAAGAGACTATAATTTTTAGTATCATTATTCTATGGAAGTTTGAGATTTCTCTTAGCAGCATTTGGCAGCCTAGACATAGGCTTACTGAGATAAACCTTTGTAATGATCCAGGGCTAGGTTTCTTTTCTGCTGGATGGGTTTAACAGAATACTTGATGAAATAAGGAAATGGAAAGCACCAGCAAAAGTGGATGGGCCCTAGAGTCTAGGTGGATCAGGGACAAAAATAATTGAAGAGAGAATCTAGACACATTGAGACTGGACACCTCAATGAGGTAAAAACAAAGATAAAAGACAAATGGGATAGGAGTAAATGAGTGAGGATGAGGGTTAATAAGGTGTTTCTGCTGAGAATGAGATCTGAATTTAAGTTTCTGGAGGTAGGATAGGGTCCAGAGTGTGACTATAAATGCAGCTTCAATTAATGGAGGTAAAAGTCACTATAGATCAGGAACTAAAGTTAGTGTCAAAATGGCCAAAGGTTTGCAGAGGAACRTTTGAAGCATGTGGATTGGTTTTAAGAAAACGTTTGTACCTCACTGTTTTTAACATGACATGATTTCAGGGGACATTTCTAAGCAGTCTATTTCCAGAACATATATTTGAATGATGTTTACTCATTCCATCACAGATCTATGATCTCCTTCCTCCTCTGAACTGGTCTCCCTCATCAGTGATTTTTTTCTTAGTTAGCCTGAGCSTGAGGAACACAGGGCAGATATCATACTGGGTTCAAGAATCTCCACTTGAAGGAAATTCTGTTGTGTGGTAAATGGATGAAACATGAAGACGTTTTGGTAAGTGAAATAAGACAGTTACAAAACAACAATAACAATAGTAACAAATACCACTGTTTGGTTCCACTTATGAGACACTTATAACAGTCAATTTCATAAAAGCAAAAAAGAAAGTAGAATGATGATTACCATGGATTGGGGGAGGGAGGAATGGGGAATTTTGTTTAATGATACAGTTTCAGTATTGCAAAATAAAAAAGTTCTAGAGATGAATGATGGTGATGGTTACACAACAATGTAAATATACCTAATGCCACTGAGTACTTAAAAATGGTTAATATGATATACCTCAGATTATATATATTTTGCTAGAATATGAAAAAAAATAAAACTTATATTCACATATATTGGTCACCCTCAGGAAGGTGATGACATTGTAGTACAGCAGAGAAGGAATAGTTAGTTCAATATGGGCCAGGCCAACTGGCGATCCAGAGGAGGAAAAAACTTCATCCCTACCTTATACTACAAGCAAATATCAATTACAAATGGATTGTTAAAGTAAACATGGGAGCTGAAACAACAATGCTTTTATAAGAACACATAGAATAGCTTTATAACCTTAGAGTAGGCAAAGATTTCTTGAACAGAATATAAAAATTACAAATCAGAATGCTAAAAATTTCTGTTCATCAAAACATACCGATGAGAGAGTTAAAATAAAACTATAGAATCAGAGAGGCTATTTCTATCCACTCTAATGCATATATCCGAAAAGTGACATATCTAGACTATATAAAGAACTCTATAAATCTCAATGGAAAAATGAGCAAATGACTTGTACACATGTCCAAACGGTCAACCAACAACCCCCACTCCCAAGAAAAGATTGTYAATTAAAACAACCACGAGATTCTAGCTAAAAAACATCAGATTAAAAAGACAGAAAACTAAGTATTACGGAGAACACAAGATAACTAGAATTCTCATACATGATGAGAAGTTTGGTACTTTGAAGCTACAAGAATCTTCCATAAGACATGTATTACAATGCACAGCACAACTTTTTGTTCAGGCAAAAAATGGAAACCACTCAAAGTCCATCAATATTAAAATGGATAAATAAATTGCAGAACATTCATCCAGTGGAATTTACCTACATTTTTTCTTCAACTTTCAACAAAGAAAATCCCTGAGGATAAATGCTTGGGAGAGTTGGGAAAGATTTCGCTGAAGTAACACTTAAATTGGGCCTTGAAGACAGATAGGAGGTTGTCAGAGAGGTCTAGTAAGTTCAACCTGAGGCCCGAATAAAGCACAGAGTTGAGGAAGCGTGCAGAAACTCGGACTAGTGGGAGTGCTGAGCTGTGTGAGTCGATGGAATGACAAAATGAGAGGCTAAGCAGGCAGGTCTGGGGCTAGTGGGTATCGGATCTTCTGCCAAGGTCTTGAACGACACAAAGCGCTACTGGGAAGAAGCTAGGGGAGCAGCTTCGTTCTAATGTGGGCTCCACTACTGACGAGCTGAGTGATCTGGGCATCTTGGCCTCACTTGTCGATGTCCCCACTTGTAACACAGGAAGTTCTTTCCTTACACAGTAGCGAGGAGGAATTGAACCCCTGAACAGTGTACTCATCAATTAGCACAGCGTCGCGGGCAAGGAGCACCTAGTGGGAATGTATCGTCGTTCGGACCAAAGCTCGGTTTCTGAGCAGGCTTCTCCCCACTCGTAGGACTTGGGAAAGAGAGTAAGCTCCCCACTCCTCCGCCTTCATGTGCCCCAGACCTTTTCTCAGACAGCAGGGCCGGACCAGAGAGGGAACGATGGGCCTGGCGGGCAGGGGACTTGCCGCCGCTTACCCGGGCTCTGGTCCCGCTCCTCGTCCTCTGCTGTCCCGCGGACCTTGAAACCAGGCGGCAGCGCCGGCCCTATCAGGTCCCTGGCCATCCGCGACGGCGGACACTGATCACCCGTCAACCCCTATCAGTGCGGTTCAAATCTACCCCAAACGCAGCCCCGGACGCTCCGCGGCGGCTGGAAGTCTTCCGGCGCCGATCAATGACGTAACAGCCTGTGATTGGCTGAGCCGTGAAATTCGCAGTAACGGAAGTGATGTGTAAAGCCTGTTACACAGACGCATGCTGGGCTCCCAGCTTAGAAGAAGATAGCATGGCAGAGCCAGCTAGTAATTTTATGAGCCCTCCGGGGTGGTTTCCAGCCCCCGAACCGACTCCCAGGTTGGGGCCCATGAGCAACGCCGCCCCTCCGCGGGACAATTGGATGTTCTGGGCAATGATGCCACCAATGCCGCCTCCGTTGCAGCCCGCGACCAGATCAGAGCATTCATTTGAGGCTCAGCCCCGGATGAAGGTCCAGCCTCTCTCTGGGGCGCCACCCCCCTTTGATGCCCAGATTCTGCCCGGGACGCAGCCCCCCTTCGACTCCCAGTCCCCCCTTGATTCTCAGCCTCAGCTCAGCGGTCAGCCTGCTTGGAAGTTCCAGGCTTCGACATCTTGGTCCTGGGGACAGTCTCCTGGTGCTTTCCCTCATCAGCAGAACTCCTGCAATCCTCCAGGTAGGCTGTGGTTCCTTGCGGTACCACCCTTTATCCCGCTTTCTCTTCCTCCCTATCCCATTTCTTTTTTCCCCATTATCACTCTGCCCTGTACTCTTGGAGTCTGGTAATTGATGTCCCAAAATATGTTCTAATGGAATGATTCCCCTGCCTGCTCATTCATTAGCTATTGTTTCTTGAATTCCACCTATATATGAGGAGCTGAGAATATAGCAGTGAAGAAATAAAAAATCCTGTCTTTGTAGAGCTTAATATCTCCTTAGTGTAGTAAGATAGACAATAAACAGAATTGTGAATTAGAAGGTAATGAGTGTTGTTGAGAGAGATAAAGAAGAATAATGGTGTAATTTTAAATTTCATTGATATTCATTGGAGCAGATTTCTGGGAGGTGAGAGATCAGAACTATGCATACTTCTGAGGAGGAATGGAGGCAGAAGGAAAGGTAATGGTGAAGGCTTTCAGGCAGAAGCTGTTCATCTGATTGAAAACCACCGTGGCTAGAGAAGACTGAGCCTGGGGTACAATTGTAGAAGATTGGGAAGGAGGGCAAACTTCATAGGTCCTTGTGGATGAGGGTAGAACTTGAGGGCAGACTTGGTAGGTCTTTGTAGATGATGAGACTTTGGCTTTTATTGTTATGAGATGGATAGTGCAGGAGAGTGTCCTGATCTGATTTGTATTTTAAGGGGAACCCTATTGATGGGAATTGACTGAAAGGGAGATGGTTAGAAAGTTAACTGCAGTTGTTCCAGTGATATTGGGGACTTGGATCAGGTAGAGATCTGGGGGTGAGAAATAATCAGATGAGAACTAATCAGACTCCAGATATATTTTAAAGGAAGAATCAAAATGATTTGCTGAATGTGGTGTATGAGAGAAATTTTGCCAAATGACTGGAAGGATGGAGTGGTTATTAACTGAAATAGGGCAGAGTGGATGAATCAGATTTAGAAAACTAGGAATTGAGCTTGTAAAACAAAGATTGTTCACTTAAAATCATTATCCAATTCATTATAAAACCCAGTATACATTAAGTTGAATTCAAACAATTAGTGCTTACTGTGTACTGGATGTAGGAATATGAATTTGCTAGGTCAGATTTGATATGTATAAATCACAGCACAATATGTTGGATGATAGAGGCTTATAAAAGGTAGTTTTTAGAGTGCAGAGAAAATTGGGAAAAGTTTTTAGAAGCCTCAGGAGATCTGTAGAATTTGGGAAGAGCAACTTCTTAGGTGGAGTTAAAGAGGTATTAGTGTAACAAGTTTTAGAGATTGTAGTGTTCTGGTGTGACTGAAGCAGAGTATGTGGAAATTATGGGGAAAGGGAGGGATGAGAAAATAAACTGGAATCTCACTTTAGGAAGCCATTTGCAGATTTTTTGGGATCTTGGGTAGTGTTGAGAATAGAACCGAAGGCCTTATGCATGGTAGGCAAGTGCTGTACCACTGAGCTATATCTCCCCTTATTTGCATATTTTTGACCCTGATTGATGYGATTGGAGAAATATTTTTGTAATATCAAAATGCAAGGTCTGCTGGAAGAGAGGGGTTAGGCACTGGAAGACAATCTAGAAAGCTGGCACAGTAACATAGACAGAAGATCAGGRTGTTTCTAAATCATGTCATGAGAATGGAAGGGAGTAGAAAGGGTGGGATTTGAAAGGAGACATATTTCACAACTTTTTGTTTTCCTGGTGTGAAATTGATGCTGAAGGATTAGGACTAGGGATTTCACTAGTTACATTTCTTTCTTTCTTTTTTTTTTTTTTAAGCATTTTTTAACCTTTATTTATTTATTTTTTATGTGGTGCTGAGGATCGACCCAGTGCCTCACACAACCCTACCCCTCACTGGTTACAWTTCTAATATTTAAAATAACTCAGAGAATTTCATCAGGTTTAGAGTGTTCGTTCCTGTACTAGGTACCTAACACATGTACGGACATGTAATCTCACCAGTATTTCTTCATTTGAAAAAATCATTAACTAATCATAGTCTTTGCTAATTTGTTAGAACTGCTATTCTTCTTATAATGGGTAGTTTACCAGTGTTTTTACTCAAGTATCTGTGATGTAAATTAAATTGTAAATAATTGAGCAGTTGCAAACATTAATGGATCTGTTTTTGTTTTTCAGTTAATCATTCTTATTTTCCACCAAAATATGATGCAAAATTCACTAATGTTAACTTCTCTCCTGGCAAAAAACAGAAAAAAAAGGTATTTCTAAGATTTCTTGACTATAATGCTTTGATTCTTCTGTTACTATTTTATCTTTTCTTTCTATCATATCTATTTCAATGTTTTGCATTGATAACTGACATAGTAGAGCTTTGCTGCAATAGGATTTTTAAGTATCTTAGCTGTAAGTAAAGACTTAAAGCAAAATTATTTTGAAAAATGAGTGAAGAAATTATAGATAAAGAAAACATTGAATCTTTTTCAATACCATATTAGGAGTAAAAATAATTGAGAACTATTATTACAAATACTGTAAATGTTATTAGAATTTGATAATTTAAAAACTTACTAGCAGATTGAGAAATGAGGGATGGAATTTTGGGAGACTAGAAGTCCAATTTTTTTCTTATAAGCACGTATTTAAAAACACTATAACGACACAAACCTTTTGTTTTTTCATAATCTTTTTTTAACAGAGAAATGCCTTTTAGGAATGGGTGTCTATAGTAAAAAAGTAGTAGCTTCTGTTTCTTTTTCTTGCATTAAAATTGGGTTAATTTAATATTTATAACTTAAAACCGTTTATATTTAGTTATCCTGTATGCATAAAGTAATATCTGAAACTCAGACAGGATTTTTGTGCTATAAATGTTATTTATTGTTTATTCATTTTAATATTTCAGTTTTTTCAAAAGTGGGCATCTATCATTTTATGAAAATGTCTTATTTTTAAAAATGAGCAACAGTTTAACCACACAATAATTATATGCTTATACTTCAGAAGCATAATGCTGTATTAAGATAACTTCCTTTATTCTATAGTTTACAGATCAGATCTTTTAAATTTAAAATCTATAAACAATGCTATTAGTTTAGAATAAGTTGGATCCGTCTACAACATGAAATTAGTGTCCTTCACCTGACATGAAAACTTTGTGGCTTATGTTTACAAAATATTGTGCAAGTGCATATATTTATTAACATAATCCTAGCATTAAAGAATTGGAGTTCTATTTCTATGTATTCTATCATTATAATAAGCTTTTTGTTATGTTTGAGCATGAAAATAGCAAATTGTGACTCAGAAACAACTAATCCTTACCGAAATGATTCTTTGTCCCCCTTCTGTGATTTTTAAAAAAATTCATGAAATAGTGCTTTACCTAAAAGATGAAATGTAAGTTTGCCTTAAATATTTATTTTTAGATCCTTTGACATCTTCTGTACTGAGTCTTAATTAGATTGCCAATTCAAAATTGACTCATAGTTTACAACATTAGATTAAATCTAGTTAGATTTACATTTAGTTATATCACACAAGTATGTGTTACTAGGCAGATAGTTACATTTGTATTATTGACTTGAGATTTCCCCCCAAAAGCCTAATCTCTCTTCTTTTTTTGTTTACAGAGAAGAAAGGAACAAGTTTTTCACTTATTTTGTGATACCTGTGATCGTGGTTTTAAAGATCAAGAAAAGCATGACAAACACATGTCTGAACATACAAAAGTGGGTTTCCTTGGTTATTCTGAAATTTATGTAGCAAAATGGCCTTTTATATATATTTTTGACAGAAAATTCGGAGTGTGTGTTTCTTAAAAGTTCGTAGTTGTTGTAGAAATGTTCTTTGATGACTTGATGAATAGAGACAGTGGCATTGGAGTTTGTGGTTTGAGAGAGGGATGCCCTCTGCTTCAGGGATAGTAAGATACCAGCATAGAAGGGAGAGGTGGCAGCTCTTTGAACATGAGCACCTCCACTGCTTGTTAAAAGTTAGGTCCTTCCCTCTCATTGTCCTGTGCATCTTTGTAAATTCTTTTTCGTTAAAGAGGTTAAGGCTCAAGGTCAAGGTTAAGGATCCCTTGACTATTTAACCACACTATAATTTGCCTTAGCTCACCACCTTGTAAAGATGCTGTGGATCTTAAGTATTTTTTGAAAAATTTTATCTAGAATGTTTTTAAAAGTTAAAAAAAAAAGAAAGTTCTTAGTTTGAAAAAGTTCTCTCTTCATTTATAGAAATATTCTTCAACTTTAGCACATTTTATAGCATTGCTGATGTCAAGTTTTTTACCTAAATGAAGTAAATGAAATATACTGTGCTATATACTTTGAAAATGTTATTTCTTTCTCTTTTTTTTCTCTTTTCTTTCTCTCTTCCTCTCCTTTCTTCTTTTCTTCCTTCCTTCCTTCCTTCCTTTCGATTTTACCCAGGGGTGCTCTACTTTAAGCTACTAGGGATTTAGCCCAGGAATTGCTGTACTACTGAGCTATTTTTAATT